TGTTTGATCAGTGTATAGTCAGTCACAAAGTGGATATAATCCTATTTATTGGATATATGTCAGCTCGTAACGAATCTGGGGCCGAAAATGTGAAAGTCGGTCTTAGCGGTTTATTCATAATAATACAGAAATAAATCTTCCAGCATAAGGATGAGATGAAGTTCCTTATCCTTTGTAAGAAGTCCACAATGAGTGAGTGAGGTTTTACGCCTTCAGCACCCAGTTGGGAATCGAAGTCTGGTTTCGACGTGACGAGATGACACTTTAACCACCTGATAACACAAGTGCACTAGGCAATGGTTCTGTGTGTGTGTGTGTGTGTGTGTGTGTGTGTGTGTGTGTGTGTGTACACTAGTCCGGACTAAGGCTGAATTTATTGTGCTAGCCCATTGAGGAGATACCATGACAGGAGGAGATACCATTTTAACAGGATACCCTACTCAGACACAATATATTGACTCCTCGCCGACCAGTAGCCCCTTACTGTCGGGCAAAACAAAGGGTAACAAAAAGTACAAACTTTCAACGTCTGTCTCGGAGGGGGCACGGATGGCCCAGTCGTCTAAGGCGTTGCGATTCGCTGTGCAGAGTTGCGTCCCTTGGGCACGCCAGAAACCTATGATTGTGGGTTCGAATTCCGGTTCCCCCAATTATGTTTCTAGGTTTGTTAGCACCATACCCCTGCTCGTGGGTTTCACCGTAGTGGTAAACGTGTGCGACCTGCATCACTTCGGGTTTCCTCCCACATTCAGCTGACAAGCCGTCATATAATTGGAATAATGTTAAAAGCGGCGTTAAACCTAATTCATACACTCACTTACTCTGTCTCGGATGCGGCTCGAACCAACGGCTTTAGCTTTCCGAACAGACGCTCCACCACAAGACCACACGGGCACCATACCCATTCACACTATTTGCACATGTATTAAATCCTGTCAACGCTGTCATGGACTATAGCCATGTTACATGTTTAGATTAATATACAACAAAACATTTCAGCAGCCAGACAAACAGAGAGCGGTTTTAACGAAATGAACCAATCTTTCTGCGGCATCCCATTCGCCCCGGTGTTGTCCCCCTTTAAATGCTGCATGTCCCTTTTTACAGCTTCGTTGATAATAAAACATCTGCCACAATAAAATATTCGCAGATAGGCAATATTTGTTGAAGTCAAACACACATGACAATCCGGCGCGACACAATCCGGTTCTTATCTGAGCAAAGTAATAGTGTGCGTGTAGACTTCAGGTTAATCTCGACGCCATCTTGAAAATGAAATTCACGCATTTTGTCATGTCTCTAACCATGATAGACAAACACCAGCTTGTGTTTTAATTTAAGGACACAGACATTTTCCCTGCTCAATGTATTAGAGATTAACTGTTTTCTTGTATATCATTAGAAATCACTTCAATATTACAAACACACTACTCGGGAATTTAATTCCACGCTTTCCCGCGCTTTGTTTATTTATGTTTACGAAACTTGCACTCTTGGACCCTATACATAAACACCAGCCTTCGAAAATAAATAAATACATCGCAAACGAAACCCTAGATTTATTTCAATATTTAAACTTCTTAATAACGGTACTATTTCCCTGCTTCAGTTGCAGCATCAATATGCCACGTGGTTATACTCAGAGGGAACGTTTACTGTGAAAACAACTGATATTCAAAACCTCGTTCAAACTATCAGCGTGTAATTCGAAGTAATGCAGAGACTCAAAACAAACAACTTCTCTTCCAGTTTCACATATTATTTAAGTTTTGTAAATTGCTTTGCAATGCACATTTGAAATTCTTAATAAAAAATATTTTATTCATCGAGTTTCGAAAATATATTATTCTGGCAAAACTGCACATAAGGCTTTTGATTTGATAATGAGAGTGTAAGTGCCCTTTTATTTTATGATGTAAACACATTGAGTGTATGTGGTTTGGAGTAATTATGGTGTCAACAGTTCCGTGGAAAAGATATTCAAATGTATTCCTACAAATGGCACGGCGTGACGGTTTATAAGCATGGTTTATGTGCATACAAACCCCACATCGGCTGGAACATTTACAAACACGCCTTGCTACATACCAGCAAGTGTCTCCATTAGATCACCACACTATGTGTGTAATTATCAGAACACTTGTCTAATTGCTCTCACAACGATAATTATCTAAGACTTCCAACAATGGCTGTAACGTATGCATAATTCGCCCAAGGATAGGGGTAATTCGTTAGACCTTTAGTTAGACTTGGGTGATCACATATTTGAAATGACATGCTAATTATCATAGGAATAATTTGATAAGCTGCCCAACTCCCCTTCTCTATCTCGAGATCCTGTACTTCTCGCGGAAATCAATAGATTTAGTTTAGCCAGCTATCGATCCTTCTACCGCACACACCCCATTTTTCTTCAGGGGTTAGTAGTTGGTCGTAAACGACAAATATTGATACCATTTACAGAACAGAGAATCATGATGAATCATCAGTGAACGCGGGATGATTTTTTTGGTCTGAATCTGGGACGCGCAACAATACTTAACAGGGGCTGGTTGATCAACAAGTTGATAGGCTGTGCTTTACACGGATGACGTTTTATGTACACTTCAAGACACACATTGACTTGAATGGTGCCAGTTTACGAGATCTGGACTTTGGTACACAAGACAGAGATTCGTTACTCAGTACCGGTATGATGCTGATATCCCTGTGTGCATTACCGAATCTTGAATATTGCCAGCATATTTTAGCACAATTATTATAACACGTCTTCACAACATACGTTCCAAATTAAAGAACCTCAAATCCAATAGCAACAAAGGTTGAGAACGAACCCCAGTCTTAGAAGGTGCGCGTGCGTGCATATGAGGCGACCTGGTGTGGTATAGGGTGGAAGTCTCTGAGTATGAATTAAATGAGTATTTGATTAAGCTAAAAGTTTTAAGATAAACATTTTGAGATAGAAATTCCAGACTCAAGTAAACTGTTGCTACAACTTAATTAATAGCGAAACCACCCTGGAGACCCAAGTTATCTAATAGCTAAACCACACTGGAGAACCAAGTTATCTAACAGCTAAACCACACTGGAGAACCAAGTTGACTGTAGCTAAACTACACTGGAGACCCAAGTTAACTGTAGCTAAATCACACAGGAGACCCGAGTTATCTAATAGCTAAACCACACTGGAGAACCAAGTTGACTGTAGCTAAACCACACTGGAGACCAAAGTTAACTGTAGCTAAACAATCCTGGAGACCCAAGTTATCTTATAGCTAAACCACACTGGAGAACCAAGTTATCTAATAGCTAAACCACACTGGAGAACCAAGTTAACTGTAGCTAAACAATCCTGGAGACCCAAGTTATCTAATAGCTAAACCACACTGGAGACCCAAGTTGACTGTAGCTTAACCACACTGGAGACCCAAGTTAACTGTAGCTTAACAATCCTGGAGACCCAAGTTATCTAATAGCTAAGCCACACTGGAGAACCAAGTTATCTAATAGCTAAACCACCCTGGAGACCCAATTTATCTAATTGCTAAACCACACTGGAGACCCAAGTTAACTGTAGCTAAACCACACTGGAGACCCAAGTTAACTGTAGCTAAACAATCCTGGAGACCCAAGTTATCTAATAGCTAAACCACACTGGAGAACCCAGTTGACTGTAGTTAAACCACACTGTAGACCCAAGTTAACTGTAGCTAAACAATCCTAGAGACCCAAGTTATCTAATAGCTAAATCACACTGGAGACCCAAGTTAAATGTAGCTAAACCACACTGGAGAACCCAGTTGACTGTAGCTAAACCACACTGGAGACCCATGTTAACTGTAGCTCAACCACACTGGAGACCCATGTTAACTGTAGCTAAACCACCCTGGATACCCAAGTTAACTCTAGCTAACCACCCAGGAGACCCAAGTTAACTGTAGCTAAACCACCCTGGAGACCCAAGTTAACTATAGCTAAACACACTGGAGACCCACGTTAACCATAGCTAACCACCCTGGAGACCCAAGTTAACTATAGCTAACCACACTGGAGACCCAAGTTAACTGTAGCTAAACCACACTGGAGAACCAAGTTATCTAACAGCTAACCACCCAGGAGACCCAAGTTAATTGTAGCTAAACCACACTGGAGACCCAAGTTAATTGTAGCTAAATCACCCAGGAAGCCCAAGTTAATTGTAGCTAAACCACACTGGAGACCCAAGTGATCTAATAGCTAAACCAACCTGAAGACCCACGTTAACTGTAGCTAATCAATCCTGCAGACCAACGTTAACTATAGTTAATCAACACTGAAGACTCCGTGGATAAACCGATCCTGAAGAACTAAGTTATCTATTGCTAATCTTATCATGATAGCTTTTGCTATAACACTCTGCTAAACCAACACTAAAGATCCAAATTACATATACCACGAAGGCTCAACGAAACTGACAGTTGCATTAATACAGTTACGTTAAGCTAATTATAACTAAGAAAAAAGACACTCAACTGCATCCTTGGCAAGTTCCTATGGTGAGCCTGGGCTCCAATCCTGAACGACAGGGAAGCAGATAAAACAGATTTCTACTAATCGGCACTGATCCTTTAAAGGCTTAACAAATATGAACAACCGAATCACAAGTCAATCTGGCGCAAAGTAAAATTTAATGAAAACGATATTTGTTCTACAATAATATTAACACTACGTTTTGTTCTCTACATAAAAGAATAAATCAATCAAATCATTTCACGCGCACGTGTACATTTTGACGCAATTGGACATCTTCTGCGAAATGAGAAAATCCCTGTTTTGTAAAAATCAATTTCAGAATCAGCACAAGCAAAATGTTCACGTGCAGCCTTGCTTCTGAGAAATATATCCCAGACCCCGATCTAGAAAAATGTTGAAATAACGATAACTGAGACTCTATGAGACCATGAAAAAGTTGCCTCTCTTCCCGCTCTGTTACTTGCCTAGCGTCCCGAGCAGGGAAGAACGCGTTAGTGATCCCTCTCTCCATCCTCTCACTCTCTCCACCGCTCATCTGGGTCAGCGCCGTGCCGAGTTTAGGGATGACATATTCCCGGTAGCGCAAGGCTGAGCACAAAGCAGCACTGGGAGTAAAGCTGCATTAATACAATAACAGTTATTGAGGAACATTTACAGGGATAACAGCTACTTGAACCAGCGGCAATATGTGGCTGTGGATTTTATACTTATATTTTGGAATCGTGGCAGCGAGCGAGAATGGTAAGTTTGATTATATTCTTTGGATAGTTTGTGTGTATATTTCTGTCTATCATCGGTCAGTCTCTGGCTGCTGACAGAAGAGTTGATGGTGCCTGGTTTCCAAAAAGCGAGCACTTCCCTAGTAGTGGCCATGGGCATAAGCTTTCTTATGTCTTTGAGGCTAATATTTTTACTTTATGATCTAGAAATGATCTTTTACTAAACAAACATTTTTTTTACAATTTTTAAGCATTACAGATGCAGATGTGATTGGTTTCTTTTGAATATGTTTTCAAAAACTATAGTTAGTGTCTTTGAATAGTTCTTTTATCGATTGATGGCTTTTGATGAGCTTTTCGCGTGAAATCTACACACGATGCTCGGGATTCAAATGTAGTCATCATTTATGAGGTATACTTTCATACATCTGCCCACCTAGGAAACAGAACAAGATTTGCATAGTGCACCAAGTTGTCCCTAGTTAGGATTACACATTTAATCACTTCCTATTACCCAGTGCACGTTGCATAGAAAAGTTAGATGCGGTTACAGAACCTTGCCTAACCGCACGCAGAAGCCATGTTTATACACCACAGACAAGGAGATTCTAAAGTATACATTTATATATATGAGAAGGGCAACGGTGAGGCTAACATATGTCATACTCTTTCATCTGGAGTTCCTCGTGGGTTCAGCATCAGCAACATGCTGTGAACGTATGCGTACTTTATATAACAGTCCCCGCGAAGTTGCAGCGTCTTTGAAGGCTCAGCAGTCTTCAGACGTCTTGGAGATGTCTCATGGCCCATGGCCTATTTTGTAGCGTCGGTCTCGCCCTACTTGTCACCGGTTCCAGACAGCTTCTGTTCCGATAACAGTTTCCATGGTGTAATAAATCACCCCAGGGCACAATATGACGAAAACAAGGTTCACTATTGTTTTAGTATCGGGTAACAATGTTAAGCACTGTTACTAGGTTGCCTACATACGTACAGTGAAATACAAAGGCATGTTCAAACCTTTATTCCCTGGGTGTATTGACGTGTCTCTTATACCAAGACGAGAGATGTATATATTTTTTTAGAAATGGGTAAAAACGTTTATGTCCCAGCGTTGTATGGGGTCGCGGCGAAATGGGGGTCATAATCAGAGGAATGACTTGTATCCGAGAACTTTGACTCGCTGTTTGCTCTCATAATGGGGGACATATGGCCTTACTTTGAGGATATCCGATCAATGGAAGGGCGATACCGGTGACGTCTGTATGCTTCATGCTGTTATCTACGTTACACGTGCGCGACGGCGACGCCATGGGTGAAAGTGAGGTCGTTCTCTCTTGATGGCGGATTAGCTTTGACGTATCCTTTCCTCTAACATTTCCAATGTCGTGTTCCTTCAATGTCAATATTGGTTATGCCGGAAACTAGTTATCGGCGTTAAATTGTTAAGCGTTAGTAAGCTGTTAACTCGTTCAACAATTGGTTCGCGCAAAGTGTATGCACTGTTCATGTAAGTTAGACGCGAGTCAAATGTACGTTGTTTGTTTTATGAGTAATGGTGACGCAATAGACTTTCAGGTGAATACATGTTAGTACTCGTGAATAGGGATCTCGCTGTCTGGGTTGCGTCCCTTAGCCTTGCCAGGAACCGCTTAGCGGTGTTGCGAATCCGTTTGTAGCACTATACCAATACTCTTTGTACCAACAATGTGGTAAACGCTTCAGATATTCTTCAAAGTGCCCCCACTCCATGAAGCCGGAATAAACCAGATGATAACAGAAATATCGGTTCAAAATGGTCTTTTATATTAGGCATCTATCATTTAATATGCTATATATGACGGAGGTTGGTTGGGGGGGGGGGGGATTATTTCCTGTTATCTCTTCTTGACATACGACCGGCTCCGTGGTCTAGTAGAAGCGGAGAGCGGAAGGTCCGGGGTTCAATACCCGGTCGCGTCATACCAAAAGACGCCAAAAGATTGTACTTGTTGTTACCCTGCCTGCAGCTCGGCATTTAGGGGTAAAACAAGGACCGATCGGCTTGGAGTTAGTATATTATGTCTGAGTGGGGTATTCATATTAAACTGCAGCATGGTATCTCAGTGGGCTAGCACTATAAATAAATGCATCCTCGTCGCTATATGATATCGCAATTGAGCAATTATCTTGGACGCGACGTTATACCCCGTTTCACCTCACCTCACCTCTTCTTGACAAACAATTTTTTTCTCTGAAGGGGGAGTCAAATTATTTTTTTTCACACATAACTAATGATTGTTTCACCCCTCTAGAATGTCAAATGGTCGCCCCATAAGTCATGGCGGTTATGAAACATTTTTAACGGTCTCGTTTTCCTTGCACATCACTTCTCGCAAGACAATGTATGAATGCCCAGTAGGGCAATAATTCCCCTAAGTGTATAGTTAGTGTTTCTGATGAGTGATACGCCACGTGTAGGTACTCTCACAGACGAGTTCGGGGTTATATGATCTGAATAGGAGGATCCGAACAATAGCAATTTGGTTGAAGAATGTTTTGTGAAGATGGCACGTAATGATAAAAACGTGGGAGAGTTTGTCTTTAGCGTTTTGTTTCCAGTTTAAAGACTGCGTGTGAGCAAGCCTCACATACATTTGAGGTTATTTTGAAACATCTATAAGACCTCGAACAAGAATAGCTTAAATATTCGTTCTGTTGAGACTAGCTTCCACGGGCTGGTTCATGCAGTGCCAAGTGAGGAAAGACTTGCTATACGTCTCGTTCCATTAAATTTAGACAGCCAAACAAATGTCTTTAATTGTCGAAATCGTCGAAACATTAAATGACCTTTTGAGACATGCATTCTTTTCTCATAAAGGAGAAGAGAAAACATGTCTTTGGAAACACAAGACAATGGGACAACACTTTGTATTATATAGTCATGAGTACTGGAACTGTTTTCTTTCAGAAACTAACAACCCATCCCACCCCCTTAATATCAAATTGAAGGTCCCGGATTAATATTTGTCATGAGAATTTTCGATTTTTAATTTGGTAAACATTCCAAAAGTTAAAAATTGTCCAACCAGCCAAGCCTATGAGCTGTAAACGTTTTGTAACTGGGGATAGTTAGCCACTTACAACCATAGATGGAACATTTTGCAAGAAATTATCTGTAATCATGTAATATGCCTACTCGATAGTCACTTCGCCTTCCATCCTACATAAGTTATATCCCCAAACACTGGATATGTACAGACAAAGATATCTGAATTTTAAATAAACTTCCCCATCAAGGCTTGTCTGTGTTTCACTGTCAACAGCTGTCTACAGCCATGGATGATTGATAGTGACACATAGTTTGCGGAAGGATACATTATCAGGGAGTTGATCGGTTCTCGACTTCTTGTTTGTCGCTAACCTAAACACAACCGCCATCTTGGATTTATCAGCCGTCGCGGATATTCAACTATCAAATGAAATCTGGCGCCCTTTGTTCAGCCGTGGCATATCTGGCCACAGTTGTTCGCATTATAATTTCACAAAATGTTATTTATCCCCTGCTGTGTATACGATTTACGACGCCCTGTTGATATAGCGACAAAGGCCACGACAGCGTGCATCTCGACGCGCTTCGCTGCACGTGCTGTGACGTTATCATTCTAATTATGATAATTGATCTGCCGACATTTAAATCCCGTTATTTGATTACCATTGTGACTTCCAATCGACGTAACTGTATTTTCTTCGTCGGGTTATTTTTACAGTTTCCACATGTTGGTATTAAATCACAGCTGCTCAAAATCCCCGATAATCATGGATTTGATTTTTTACGGCTACTGGTTTTATAACAGTAATCAGCGTAAATCACAGTCGAATGATTCATCCCGAGGACTTCGCCTCGTGCAACGTTTTGACAACTACTGCAGCCAGACAAAGGATGAAGTATAGTCGTTATTAACGCATTCGGGTTGCCACTCGGCCACTTCACTTGTCATCAAGGCCTAACTTTAAATGACAAAGTTGTAAGTAATTGTTTCTGAATCTATCTTTAGCTTTTGTTCTTTCGGTGTGGTTTCATCAGTTGTTTGGTGACGGTTTGAGAAGCCACAGTGATGCTTGTCATGGCACCTATGTATTATTTACGTTATTGTAGCAATATCCTATATAACTTTCAAACTACCACTCAAAGTAGACCTTGTGTCTTAGCTTTCCGGGTATTATATGTACTCGCAAACGGTTAATTCAACTAATACGAAGGTTCCAAGCGCCGTAAAGGATAAATATGTTAATATTCCATTCTTGTTCCGTATCTCACACCCATAGAGGGACCATTACCATTGACCAGTTCTCGTGGAGAGGCGAGGGTAGTTCAGTGGATATTGCTAATACTGGTTCGATTCCCAAAACCAATTCTTTTTTACCCTCGACCTGATCTTGCTTCCATAATTGCTTGAGGAGGTTTAACTGAATATTATTATATTAATTATCATGTATCAATACCAATATTACAATACACTACTGATATTTTCCCCGATCTGTGTTAGAGACGTATGTTTCTAAGAATTCAGATGTATGATGTCTATACATAAACATGTACATACATTACGCTATGTATGGTCTTTATGTATTAAAGTTTATGTACGTATGCATATGCATTAGTGTTTATGTTTACACTTATATATAGGGCCTCAGTAAACCGCTTACTTCCAATGTATCGCCCATGGCGCCTGCTTGGGTTAAAAGTTCTACAGTGCCAAAGGCTACTCAGACTCTACAAGCCAAACAATCAATGGTCTTGCTATGCGAGCCGTACAACACACCGCTCTGGCCTTACACCACCCCGTGAGCAGTAATTCAGGCAGTGCATATTTACATAAGCAAATAAGTTACCAGATACCAACTGATGCGTCTTATATCATTGGCTGTCTGGTAACAAGATAACCGAACTTCAACTTTGCCAGATGACATTGGGCCTACACTGCATCGGCCATTCTGACAAAATGTAGTGCCAGAGACCATATATCGGTATATGGTCTC